TTTATAATGTTGAAGTGGCCATACCGCCTTCATGGGTCATTAGCCGATTAGACAAGACTTATTCAGGCGATTATATTTTATAACGTAAAAGTTATTTATTACAATTCTGATGAAACGATCCACGATCTCAATAGGTATCATTTTATGCCAATAAAATAGTGGAATTTAATACCACATGAGGTTTTAGTAAGCATTTCTAAATACGCCTGACGACATTTACTGCAAACAATGCCTAATTACATGTCTGTAAAAAAACTTAGGAATATACATACAGGATGACAGTAATAAGAGATAGGCCATAGGATGTCGCCACAAAGGAAACGACATATATCATTTAAAGAAATAAAAAATAGTAAAATAATAAATAGCCTTTATTGAGCAGTCTAACTAATTAACTAGGTACACTCATGGTAACGCAATTAGTAAACATTATGATAATACGATAAACATTGAAAGAATTTTGAAAGAATCAATATTAATAAAAAAATAGGCAGCAGGTATACTATAATTCTAAATATTCTTAGTGACATATAATTCTAAATATTATTAGCACACATTGATTTCAGTATATTCTAATTTTTTATGTAACCAAAATAATTTATATAACTATCGATTATGGACGACTCGATGGATATTACGTCGCTATTTGAACTAAGATCCTAAAATAAATACTGACATGCCTAATCTGTGATACCAGGTAAGCGTTTTTAAGCAATGATAATTGGGCTTTTTGTAGGCATAAGTTCACCAAAAACAAAATGGGTAAGGATTCAGAGTTCAGACATTGAATAAGATAAAAAAGTAACCAAGGCCGCGATACCAATGTATACAAGCTTGTAGCAATTGAGATATTATGTACCAATATGTATTAGAGAAGATGCAACAAACAAACAATTTAAGTGCTACTTACGCTATAAATGGAAAAGAAAAATAAAAATGATTCCAAATCCAGAATTATCAATTTATGCAGTATCCATCTTACTTTACAGGGTATTTGAAGAATAATTAGTTTCTATTGTCGGGAAAATACATGAGTATATCTAGCGTCCGTGCCGTCCTAATAAAGTGTGGCGATATTACCGCATTTGATAGAATAGCGGTGCGTTGGATCCTCTAGTCACTTACTATTATGTACCATGATGTTTGCTTGATGTTAATTAAGAAAATGATGAAAAACTCAAAGGGGAAATCCAACTTCAGATTATTATATTGCTCCATAGGATATTGGTTTAAAACAGATCAATCGTGAGCCGGAACTCGTAATGGAGGTTCAATATGTACTGTTATTGATTTTAATGTTAATGCAACAGTCACTATAAAATAAACCACAAGATTGATCTCCGAGAAGAATGTAAAGAATTGTCATGTTTGGTGTAGTTATGGTATATTATTTATTTGAGATTTTTATCTTTTAGATTATTTAAAGTTTTATTCTTTATGTTGAAGTCATCTCGCAACCATATGCATAGAAACTCATTATGTTATCTTTGTCTCATTTTAATAATAGATGCCACCAGGTGTTAGACTGTTTTAAAGTTGTAACTCACGCTCATATCACTGTGATCCATTTCTGTGTATGTTTATTCTGATACTAGTTTTATTTACATAACTCTATGTATGTCAATTTTATTTAGACTTGACTTATTTTCACTTACACGACACGAATTATAGGTTTTGTAAATATTCTCTTTTCAAAATCTGGAAGAGATTGCATTAGCGATAAGACCCACTTTTGTACTTATATTAGTTTTATTTTAAATTTTTCTAATGTCTTTTAATGCTAATGCAATAACGTGTTAAAATTAATCAATAATACAATCACAAGCCTATAAGCGTCAATTCGATAATATTGGTAGTTGTTGAGAATACAGCAGCAGCCTGAACACAGATAACTATATATTTCCCAGGAATTATTTGTGAAGTGTATAATACTTTTCATGACCAAATTACCCACTTACTCTTTAATTGTGTGTTCATATTACTTTTATGCAAGTATTAAATAATAAATGTACCAAATGCTCAACATTGTGCGGTTACTGCGTCACTTTTACGGCCACTGTCAATAGTCATTTAGAAATAACATATTGCTCATAGTTATAATCATAATAATTTAGGCACTACACGATAACTTGCATAATTAATATTAATTTTATTACCTCGCTTTGTCAAAAATGATGGCTATTATTTCATAGGAATATCAACATTTTTTATTATTTAAGGAAAAATACACAAAGTCAGATTGTCTAGTGACGCAAGGATCTATTTAGTTTTCTCATAAGATTTATTATCATACAGCGTCGCAGGAACCTGCAAATCTATACCATAACCATTTTCAAAGTGTGATGCTATTTAGTTCAATTTCGATCTGTGTGCCTATAAGAATAAGAACAATTCGCCACAAATACAACTGTATTGGAACTGTTTAACATCCACGTTCACATAGTCGATTGTGGCAAGGTCGTGATGCTACTTAAAGCCAGCCGCGTCGTGTTGTGTGTAGTTGATATAGTTTTCCAGGTTTGTAGCATCTCAAGAGGTCATTTGGCTCGGAACTATCAAGGTCTTGTTGATTAATACGCGCTAGGATGCATTCACAATGATCGTAACGTTACGGCCAAGTGGTCAGGAAACCGCCTTGTTATAATTCACAACAAATATCAACATACTGTAACTGCGGTCGTGACAGAACTAGTACCTATGAGTATAATAGTAGAGTAAACTAATTAAAAAGAAAAAATGATAGTAATTCAAATTGGTTAAGATATCAGCGTTATGCGACAAGAAGAATATACCTAGAGTCAAATTGAGATGTTGCTTCATTTTAAAGTCGGTGAAAAATATTAAGAATACAATCTTTTTTCTTAATATTCGAAGGATATAATTATGTATTGAGGACTAAGAGAGTTTGACGGTTTGAAACAAGTGAAACATTAATTGGATGTTTCTAGTTTTTTTCTTTTCAAAGTTAACGAAAAAAGTTTCTCTAAGGTAGCTAAGTTATACAGGCAGACATGATGTAATCGACAAAAAATTAACTTATGTTATTTAGCAATAAAAATACTTTAATTACTTATTTATTTTTAGATGTAAAGATTTGTATACTGCGTGTATGTTCAGTAACTTATATATAAATAAACTAAATATGAAACTACTAAATTATTACTGTATACTTCTTCTATGTAGTTAAAAGTGTTAATTGAATCTTTATGGTACTGTCATTATTACTAGTCATTTATATTAGACATGTATAATTTCAATTGATTACGTAAACAAAACGTTCACAATTGCATTGTATTTATTTCTATCTATGTCACGCCATACCTTGGCAATAAATTTAGCGCACTTTTTGTTATTCCTTTATATATTTTTAGTTTCCTGGATTTACTCTATTCATTAGAGTTGTGTTTACATATGAAAACCTAAAACACATATATTTAATATACACGTAAAATATATTTTAAATTTATTTAGTTAAAAGAGCGACCACATGCAATAATCGTACAGAAGGTATTATATCTTTTTAAAGTCAATGAAAATACTCCTAATTAAAAGGTAATTATTCTGTGAATATTCATTGACAGATCGATAAATGAAGATTCCGTCGGTAAAGTTAATTTCGTTTTAAATATGCAGCTTTATTTTCTTTGGTATGTACAACATTGGTAACCATACTTTAATACCGGGTTTTCGAACATTTTTAGTGCCATGCAACATATATATATAATAATAACATATACCTATTTCATTTATAACGTTAAAAAAGTATTTTTTTACTTGAGAAGCTTAAATAATAAGTGTTAGGAAGAAGTCACTAGGAAGCTTTTATTGAAACAGAAAGTAAATTTTCAAAAAATTAAATTAACTTATAGAACTGTTATTGTTATTGTTAACAATCAAATTACCCGCTGTCATTGGCCCCACGTATGGAAACACTGCTTTAATATAAATGTACCAATATGAAGTACATTCGCAGTTATTTACTATTACAACTAGATAATAATAGAATGCAGATGACATACGTGACGTGGTTGTATTGGCATATCGTGATAATGAGTGTACCAAATATTTATTACAAATATTGTTTCTAACGACAGACACGTACAACTCGTAATATCACGCAGCATCTATCAAATCTTGTTATCTTGGCAATATGCACTATCAAGTTACTTAGTTGTTTTAATGATATCTGTTTCAACTGTAAAGCGATGCAGAAGCGGATTGGACAGATTGGAGAGATAATAGCGACACAGACATATTGTATATTTGTATTGGTTTGAGAGTTTTCTGTGTATACATACATAGTATACACAGAAAACTCCCAAAAAATGTAGAAATGAAAAATCTAATTATTTATATAAATTGTCTAGTATCCCATAATACAAGCTCTACTTAGCTTGATACAATTTTTTATATTATTATGATTATTATAGTATTGTATATATATATATACATATATTATATATATTTGTATATGTATATATGTATGTACACACATCGTAATTTATTATGTACCTAATTACTGTATACGTAGAAAATAATAAATAGGAATGTGGCAGAGAATGTTGCAAATATTTAGTAACAATATCCTGACCCGAGGAAAATAATAAATAATATATAATCGGAACGTTGGTGAAGTTAATTTCGTATTCTCTGGATTCTTTTATTATTTTGCGATAGAATAGACAGACGATGTTTCCCTACTGGTTTTTATCCCTTGGATATTATAGCGGTGTAAGGTTAGAGGAATATGAAGTAAAACCTTTTACTCATATCCATCTCCTATACTTTCCTATTATATTCGAAAATGTTAATAAAAATTGAATAATCATTAAATATATTTTCTGAAGTAGATACATATTTAAATTTATTCTTCGATATAAGACGAAAACGTTAGTATTTATTGTAATAAATTGTTATTTTATACTTACATATAAAAATGTTTATTATGTACTAAACTAATTATAATTCGCATTAAAACTTATAACAAAAGTCGTACTCACTTTACATTATTCCTCATGTTGAAGTTTGTCGAGATATATTCTGCGTCCCCACTGCAAACAAAAGAGGCTAATTAAAGTCAAGAATGTTTATAACGCAATTATCAGAGTTACCGTAGTTTATTTAATATAAAAAATGTATAATTTAAATGTTAAAAATAAGTGACTGTAGAAGTTGATGACTATTCTGTTAATTTTCTAGAGATATGAAACTTGTGTTTATGCATTCATATTTTTACTAAAATAATCTAAAACATTAGAGAGTTTTAATTGTATAGGTTGTTTATTTCTTTTAGAAACGATAGAAAATAGTACGCTCAAGTGAAGCTGCGTGAAACTGAAGTTAGAAATACTTGAATTTTATGTCTGAAGGCTCAATTAACTGTTTATCGAAAGGAAATTCGAATAGCCATGGTTGAATTGTGTTTTTCGGTCACAGCAATTTATGTTTAAAAAGAATGCAATGCAATATCCCTTGGCCGTACTATTATAGAGACAATGGGCGCATTGGTCACGCATCGAGAATTGTCCGTTGATTATTTACTATCGTATAGTCTCACACTTGCCAGAGTTTTATCAGAACTTTATGTTAAATAATGACACGTTTCTGTTTTACTGATTTTCGTACAAGCTCGCATATTTATTATTTTATCATGAGGATTAACAACAATAACGCTAACAAATACTTTAAAGATAAAGAAATGACAAAAGTTGTTTTAGGGAAAGTTAATAGTTTCTACGATACACTACGCAGAAATACATAAAGGGTATGTACCAATATAAAATGACAACAGGAAAACGTTTTCAGTTAATCAGATGCTTATATGTACAGCGATTAAGTACACAGTCATCAGATGGTCACAACACAAATTCGATGCACACAATACTTATTGATATTACGTTTGTATATTATATAGGTATATTTTTGTCTATATCTACTAATAATATTTTAGATCGAAACACAAAAACACAGTTATTACAACAATTCTTTTTAAATATGTATATGAGTGTGTAGTCTAGTGTGTCTCTCTTGACACAGCCACCATTTTAATTAAGGTAAATAATGCCACAAACACGTAATTTCCTCGGCTATTATACGAACAATGTATGATATTAGATACCTCCAGAGTAAGGCTACGCAAGAAAAGAATTGCATGCTATAATAGATTGCTACATGTTGCACCGACATCAATGTCACGAGTGCTCGCGTTTCACTTCCAATATAAGCTTTCTATTTATCCTTACCTACCGATTTATACCTACCTATAAATGAAGTATGACGTTTAGTAATTTACTCTAAGAACGGCCGAGATATTTCTACAGTTTTTGTTGAAAGCGTTATGTGTTGTTTATTAAACAAATATAAGTTGTTCACATATTGTATAATTACTATGTACTATTAAAGTAAAAAAATGAATAAAATATACATACCTAATTGATTTTTTTTTATTTCAAATTGATTCATACCACGGTAGTCAATGGTTATATTTTTATACACCTGCTTTTTCGATAAAAAATGTATCTAATTTGTGTAATTATTATTTTGTTGTCTAATTCATAGTGAATTCATTCCTGCACCACGAAGAAGATATAAAATGTCGTTATGAGATGTCGTTAGAAAAAGTTAAACGTTTTATCTCCAAGTACATTCTGATATAATTAAAAAAGATTAAATTCTTTTTTACCTTATAGAGTTGTATACTTACTAAACATAGCATTACGTTTATAAACATTTGTAATTGCAAAATTATTAATTAATGTCTAACGGTTGCGTGTTGGTTGGTGGTCACGGTCGACTCAAGCAAAGATGGAAGTATTTATTTATGTACTTAGAATGTGGTAATTTTGCAACAATCTTACTCTTATGACAGTGCAGTATGGGAACGTCTTTAATTAAACTTTGCCGTATGATGTTACAATAGATTACAAAATATCCCGTCAACTGCTTCAAACGTTTTCCGTGCACTATCGAAACGATTTTATATTGGGTGTACGACTTGTTACGCGTAATATTTGCCTAGCATAGTAATGGGTTAACTTAGTTTATTATGTTAACACATAATATGAAACAAACTCTGAAAATTACCTATGGTTTAAAGCTGCAATACATCAGTGAAAGTTATATTAAAATCTGCTAAGTGTAATAGTTTCTGAGATAAGCGAGCATATAATAAAACTATATGTTAGTATCTAAATAAAAGTTAGCAAATTTTATTTTATTTTAGAATACATACCTATAGTCTATTTGTAATCGTTATTTGGCTACAAAATGCTTTCTTAATAAAACTTATAATACTAACGAGGACAAATTACTTGTTATAATAAAAATTAAATTAATTTTGTGATGTAGCATATGCTATTGTATATGCCTAAAACGTCTAATAGTACTATAGTAGTAAAATCCCTGACTATATAATAGTCTTAACAGGAATTATTACGTATAGAAACTAAAATTATATAAAAAAATTATGAGTCAGCAATCATAATCACGTTTCACGAATTGTACGAATTATTGTGATTCATAATAATTCGTACAAAATCTAATCACCGAATTATCTACTTACGACCTTAAAGAGGAAGTACACAATTTAAATTGACACTTCTTCTGTACATTTCGTGAGACATGCATGGCGTGAGTATGTACAGCTTTTTTATGTATACATGAAAATATTATAGGCCATATATTATTAGACTTTATATTGATAAACTTCAACGTTAGCGTTTTTTTAGTTTTGTATTAAAAAATATTACAGTTACCAGATCTTTACGTATTCGGATATCATCATATTTGTCCAAATAGGTGTTATTTACAAAGCTTTAATTGTATCGTGCCTCAAGGTGGTGGTATGGTGGTTGGTATTTTCGTTTTATATTTTCAACGATTTTAATCTAATTTATAACGAAAAGTGTACTAATATTTTTTTTGTCTAGAAATATAGAACTCTAAGACTTATTTTACAAAGGAAAAATTACATATCCTCAATGTAAACAAAAAAAAAAATGTGAAAGTAGCGAAGGAAAATATTATACATACTGTGTTATATTGATTGGATGTCATCGCATAGAATCTCTGTTGAGTCTGGTGAGTTTTCTCGTGTATTGTTTATTACGAAGGTTGTTGTTGTGTACAGATTATCATTTTCATTAAAAGTTTAACCTTCAGTTTTATAGCAGAGGTTATTATGTGTACCTTTTATAAGAAGAGACGGATTAAAGTTAGAATTAATTTGTGAGTATGGATAGATGTTTGAATGAAAGTATACTTGCGTTTTACCAGTAATACATAGGTATTAATTACTCTTTTCGTAAATAATAGAATACATATTGCAATGCCTTAGCAAATCCTATGTTTATGACAACCCAGCTCGAAATCTCATTTGCATTAACAAATTTTCCTCTAATAGGACTAAAATAATCTAAATATATATAACTCAAAGGTGACTGACATAGTGATCTATCAACGCACAGCCCAAACCACTGGACGGATCGGGCTGAAATTTGGCATGCAGGTAGATGTTATGACGTAGGCATCCGCTAAGAAGGATTTTGATTAATTCTACCCCCAAGGAGTTAAAATAGAGGATGAAAGTTTATATGAAACTTTGTCAATTTTAAACCCATTGGTCTGAGACTTTGCATGCATAAAGCTACTATGACGCATCCCCTAAGAAAAGATTTCGATAAATTCCACCCCTAAAGGGATAAATTAACGCGAGCGAAGCTGCGGACAAAAGCTAGTAGATAATAAAATTGTGGTTAATTATGTTTATTTTTTGTCATGTATTAGTAAAACATAATTAGGAAAGATTACTGGTTGTTAAATAATAATTATTTACATCAAATTAGTTACTTAGATAATAATTATCACACACAAAATAGGTGTCTCGAAGTATAAATATAGTATTGTAACTAATTCAGATAACTTAAATAAGCAATTTCATTTAGCTGTTTGTTTTCATTATATCATCGCTCCATATAAATATGAAGTGACGTTGTACGTCGATCATAGATTATACATACGTCTGTATGTATACATTAAAGTTACTTACTTCTTTAAAAATTGATCTAATTAAAAATTGTAAATAATATTATCTATTCATGAAAGGTCTAACATTAAACGCTGTTCTAATAATTTGATAAATTGAATTCCAATCATTCGAATTGCTTTTATAAAACATTAAAAAGTATGGAAACATAAAAATCAACAAAGTTACATGTAACAGTTAATCTTGATGTATTACAATTATTTTTATGTAAAAGTACTGCATCGAATGCGGTACAACCGTATTTGTAATTATACTTGGCACGCACGCGTCTTATTAAACATGCACTTGTTACTCCTAGTCCTGAATATTTAAAAAAATAATTGTCCAATCGATTCTTTATAGAAACCATCGAGTAATATTCCTAGAAATTTATCGCTGTGGCTAATTATCAGCCCCATGTGCATAGTGTCAAGTCAGTTGATTTTACACTATGCTCAGTCTATTATTTGCCACTGTAGATCCGATAACTTATCACCAATAATATTATGAAATAATAAATAGAACTGAATACCTGAATTTATTTTATTATTTCACAATTCTATTATAATACATTCAATATTCAAATTCAAGAAAGCTTTTACCGAATTAAAAAAGATCATTGTATATTTATAACACAACATATTGATAGCATGTGGCTGATATAATATAATGATATGTATTTTGTAACACCACGGTGTTAGTTATTTATATTCAACGGCCATTGTTATGACCTTCCATCATATCATGTGGACCGAAGGGTTGTTAGCCATTCTTAGTATTACAAACATATGCTTTCTACTATCACTTAAGTGATCTAAAATTATCTTTAAACACAGCAGAAATCTGTTTTATACAGGTAGCTGTATTAACGATACATAAAATGATTGTTATTGCTATAAGAGAAGAAAATAATATTACTTGCCTGTACTATTAATAAATTTGCTGCTATCCTGAATGATTACTATTAACTAATATTATATTTGATGTCTTTCAAATGGCAACAAGGACTGTGTCTACAAGGAAGTGTCC